ATTGTCTTCACTGCTAGTATCATTAGCACATCATTGAGCTAATCGGTTCTAAGCGGTTTTAAACTTGGTTGTATAGCTGGAGATTAATTGTCTAGAGATGAGCTTGATCTTCCAGAGATCTTCCAGTAAGATCATGTTGGTTGTAGGAGTTTCTTTGTCAAATCTATTTTTGAAGGCTTGTCAAACCGCTTTGAAGATTGCATTGGCGGGGATGTCGGCATGGAAGGTAGTGTCTATAGCATGATATAGGAAGAACTTTGCTCTTTTGTCTTTTCTTGTCCATTCCTTGACTTGCTTGGTATAAGTTATTGCACTACCTTTAGAAGAAGGTTCTAGTTTCACAAATTTGCCTAATACCATATCCCATAAATCCAGGACCTTGAAAGCTATTTCCTAGGTGTCAGCCAAGGTTTGATAATTTTCTTGATCATAGAGTTTTAGGTAGTCCTTGACAGAAATACTAGAGTCAGATTTTGTGTTATTTTCGGATGACATCATGATATAGACCATTTAGTTCTTTTGTTTTGTATCAAGAAGTCATTTGTATCAATTGATATCCTCAAGATAACTTAATATATAACCTTGGATATTTTTGTAGTAATATTTGCAGCACATAGGAAACAAGTTATTGAAGTCTAGCAGTTGGATGTGGTTGCAGCCTTTACAATGGTAAAGGCTGTGTTTAGATAGAGTCGGTAGGTACTCGTGTGCATCCACAATGCAATAGTGGTTTGCTTAAGGGTGGGAAACGGTACTGCGTTCGCTTAAAGTGCTTCAGAGGTCTTCTGGTTTATGGTAGAAATGTACAAGTATTTCACAAACCTGGACTCATAACCTGAGAATATTAGTATCCATTGTACTAACTGTTGTGATAACGAAGTAACAATGATAACTACAATAAAATCTGAAGACTTAAAGGTTAATCCAAGCTTGTGTACTCTTTCTAAAAACTGGGCTGAACCTGCCTGATATATACCCCTTTATCATTACACGAGCACTACCTCATACCAAGGAAATCACTAGAAGATACTACAATATAATAGCATATATACTTGATCATGTGACTGTGTCATATGACCAAAACAGCCTCATCACAGGATAGGAAAAGAATAATGTAATTTCTAATAATTATTTTGTCGAATGAATCGGGGTTGGGGGAGGAGGTTAATATCTGATACCTGGCATTAAGTGGAGGCAGTGGCCAGTAGAGCGTCGGTGGAATAGAAGATAAAGTAGCCTAATTTGTGCAAGAAATCTACCTACCAAAGGACAAGGAGTAGTAGAAATCTCAATGGTGGAGTTTAGGTGCTTTCGGCTCTGCTTGGCATATCAGAAAACCTGAGTATTTCTCTCTTGTTCTCAGTTTTCTGTCTGTTTTGAACCAAAATTTTCATGGGGTGATTGACAAGTGGAAAAATACCATGATATTTTAATCCTCTAAACCTTTTTGTGATGTATTTCTTGTAAACCTATTAATACAATGGTAGCCTATTCTTTTTTATAAAATATCATACTTGTACTAAGTTTGGGTTGTGAAGTAAGAGGTGTTGGATTTTACTGTGTTTCTCTTCATTGATGTATACAATAACAGAATTTTCACTTGAGTATACCCAATTAACTACAAGGTACTATGTATGATATTAGTAGAAAACTAGCCTTCCCACCCAGTACAACTTACACCTACAATATCTTATTATTGTGTATGCGATCCTGACATAACTCCCCCAACACGATGATGGTATAGTCTGTAAATTACCTAAGCCTTGGCAGGACTGACACATTGGGAGGGAAGAAGATAGAGGCGGCGTGGAAGTTTTGGGAAGGTTTCTGGTGGGCGGTGGGCGGAGGTATTCTTGATGCAGGAGTGATTGTGGCATGATACTGTGCAGGTGATGTAGCGCCTAGTGACGCTGCTGTAGGTCGTCACTTGTTTGTTCTGGAGCATCAATGGGGGTCTAACGTATTCTTGGATGGAGGTCTACAGCTTCGAGTAATTTATCATGGAGGGGGATTATGGTACCGGTGCCAGAATTCTTGTTCAATTTCCCCCACTACTTTCTATTTTGACTGTAGGAGAGGTGTTGTGGTGCGGAATGTGTCAACACGCAAACACAGCTTCTCAGTTCTAGTGGGTATTGTCTGTTCCCACCCCGAGTGAAAAGGGAGGGAAAAGTAGGGAGAAAAGTAAGAGAGTTAATCGCTGAAATCTTTGTGTTGTAAGCCAAAAATGCCAAACGACAGTTAACAACGTGCACTTCAAACCTGTGCACTCACCACTATCAGGTCTTACCTACCCCCTCAAGTCCCACTGAAGTTTCCTAGATGGTCGCCTAGTTTCGATGGCGGTGGCAGTGGTATACATCAAATAGTTTACCAGCAGCACTTTCCCACAGTAGGCCCCGTTCCTCGGTCAGTACTCGTACGCTTCCGCAACCCCACCCCCACAACTCGGCTTAGCCCGCCCAACGACCTGAGTGCACTGAGCTGTATTGTACAGCACAGAGCGATATCGCCTAACTTGCCACCTCACAATTCCAGAGCAAAAGAGGACTCCGCCGTTCCTGGGTACACACCGTTCGCAAGACTGGCAGCCAGCAGGATTGTGCTAGGGAGGTTTACTATGCGGCTGCGCACAAGCCTCCTCGCGTGGTGAAGGTTTGTCCGAAAATTGGGAGCAGGAGATGGGACGTATTGGAGAGATATATAAGTGGTAAATCTGGAAAGGCGAAATATGATGACTCCCGCTTATGACGTGCGCCTGGTTGGGTCCATCTAATACCTAGCGCCGGGCTGACCGTGATGAATGGGAATAACCTTGTTAAAACGGCTTTTTGAGATACTGCGTTTAATCCTCGGTAATTCCGGTATTATTATTACTAGTATTTTGATTTGGATACTCCCTCGGGATGAAACCCGAACCTTGATTTTCCTGGCTTTCGATGGTGTCCCTTTTCTCTCGGTACGCTCTACACTGGTGGCCGAGCTGATCTTGATACTGGCTCCCCTCAACACAGGTACCACTGATGATATAGAGCTAGTGATGCCTGCCATACAGTAAAGGCCAAAGTAATTGATAATCTCTCTAGGACGTTGGAGTTGCCTCTCCTAGTGAGCTCTGTTGTATGTTTTTATTTTATCCGTCTTAGCTGAGTGCTGAAAGGGAACCTTTTCGCTGTGTTCTTTCCTACTCCTTATCCAGCGGGTGAAAATTATGGACGTCCTATCACAATTCTCAATTCTTTCCATCTTTGCGGTTACATGTGGTCCAAAATTCCCTTCTCTAGAATGGGGTAAAAATCACAACAAAAAACACAGCTAGTTTCCCCCCTCAGAGGCAGACATTTTCTTGGCTTTATTAAGGGAGGGAGCTGAATGACATAAGACACCTTCCAATTGTTCAAGTTCTTCCGATACTCGAGTACATTTGTTTGTAATGCCTTGCTGTGCTGAATATAACTAGCTGAACACGGGGCCTTCCAAAAATAACTTTCCAACGTCACAGACTCGCCACCCCCGCTAGGTCGGGTGCTGTACAAGGCCCGAGCCTGATGCGCTGTTCTAAACGGCTAATTTGATCTAAACGCGGAGCTCCTAAATTAATACTCCGTCCAAATAACCAAATCACCCATTGAGTGACTTGCAGATTAGTAGCGAGTTTTGTGTTTGGACGGGAGCGTGCACTCGAGCACTTGGGTGTTCCGCATATTACACTTACAAGTACAGTACTTGGAATTTCTGGGATAACCAATAGCACCCTAATACTACCCATCACTAATCGGGATAGCAGCTGGTGGCTATCCTTGTCACAATGCGATGATTGATTAATAAGCAATCGCTCGCCAAGTCAAGATCTGGAGGGTGATAGCTGACCTTGGGTGGGGGTGCAAAGTTGTCTTACCTCATGGACGCAATGATTTAAGGTCCGTAAACCGAGTCAGTGGTTGGCTACGAAATTTAAGACTAAATGGCGGCGAAACATAGTCCCGGCGAGAAATGCAAAGTAGACTATGGGGGGTGCAAGCTTGACGTGAGCCGGTGGAACCTTTTGAGATCCAGCGAGCGCTGGACAGGATGTAAAGATAATCCGAAAGGCAAGTAAATTACGAACCATCCTAAGGCCCAATCTACCCCCCCGCCCAACCGTCGTAGTGCTGAGGTAATATAGTGAGTGCGCTCAGATAGTGCCCAAGAAGCCGTCATCGCCTACCACGATTCAGATCTCGCCCTGGTCATGGGTTAGTAGGGACAGTGTAGCACTTGCAGCAGGGAATCAGCTGAAGATAAAGCCAATTTCGGGAGGTTGAGAGATTGACTGTTGCGGGGGTGGGGCAATATATAAAGAGTATAGGAGACATTCTTCCTCCTTTTCATCTATCAACTAAGATGAAAATGAAGTTTTCTACTGCATTGTTACTCCCCCTACTGGGCTTTTTATCCATCTCCTATGCAGCGCCAGCCCCACACCGGGATGAAGGGGGCTTGAACTCTTCGAGCACCAAAAGACTAGCAACCTTTGCTGATCTCTCGGAGGACTTCAGCCACAAGATAACCTCCCCGCAGTGGATTTCTGTGGGAGGTTCTGAGGACGGGACGTACGTGGCGCAGGACCCCTCGACTTTCAACTTAATGCTGTGGGACATCCGTACGAATGCCAGCAGCATATTCGTCGACATTGCCGAGTTGAAGCTACCCTACTTCAACTACACCATCCAGCCGTCTGCGAAGCACGTCCTGTTTAGTGCGAACTATGATACACAAAACTAGCATCCCCTCGATCTATGCTCGAGCGGGTTGTGAATGTTGAAAGTCTGAGGGAGGAGATATGGATAGTCGCACAAACAAAATCTGTTGTGATGGCAAATACTACAGGGGTACATGTCATCACGGGATATCAGATCATCAGATCGTCCGACGAGATGGAGCTAATTACGCACATCTGATTAGACTGCTCAGTACATATTAGGACAATACGGTCACTCGTATTCCGCCGATTATTATGTATGGAATGTGGAGGCGAAGACCTTGATTCCCCTCGTCGAGGGACAGAGTGGAGATGTGCAGTATGCGACGTGGAGTCCTCATGGCAATGTGATTGCTTATGTCCGAGGGGATGATCTGTTCATTTGGAGGGACGGGGTGAGCACTAGGGTTACCAGTGATGGAGGGGAGAATACGTTTAATAGTTTGTAGTTCTTCCCCTTGATTTCTTTTGGGAGGGTGAAATTAACGGATTTCCCCTTGTCCCCTGTTTTTCTTTGGCGGGGAGATAGAAATTATGGAGGACAAGTATTCGTTGTGGTTCTCGCCGGATGGGGAGTATCTCGCGTTCTTGAGGTATAATGAGACAGGAGTATGCCTCCAACTTGGTTCATTAATTGTATGATACTAACCTAGTCCAATACAGATACCAGCATCTATTCTCCCGCGCTACATGGCCGGCCAAGAGGTTGCACCACCTCACCCTGATGAGAAAATTTTTAAGTATACTAAACCTGGGGACAAACTCCCAATCGTTACCTTTCATCTGCTCGAGGTCAATAACCCATCTGTTGCGAGGAAGGTTGACATTCAGACTTATACCCAGATAATATGGTCATTACCGAGGTTGCCTGGGTCGCGGAGAAGCATGAGCGTGTCATAGTCCGCACACAGAGCAGGACACAGGATACTGAGAAATTGGTTTTATTTGATGTTGAAGCGGGAATTCTAGGGTTGTGAGGGGCAGGAACGCCACAGATGGGTGGTTGGATAGATTCCGTGCTGTCACCTGTGAGTTGCCATTCCGGGGTGTTCAATGCCTGCGGAGAAGTGGCTAAATTATTTTGGTTAGACGTCCCCGGACTTTCTACTCCCTCGTATCTGGATATCCTGGATCATTCCGGTTGGGCCCATATTTACCTCTACCCAGTGGCTGGTGGTGAACCAATTGCGTTGACCTCTGGGAATTGGGAAGTCACGACGATCTACTCAATCGACATAAAGCGTGGTCTGGTTTATTACCAATCCACCGAGCGTGATTCTACAGAACGCCACATCTTTTCTGTGAGTCTCGACGGCAAGACCAAAAATTCGCTCGTAGACATCACCAAGGAAGGGTATTACGATGCTAGCTTCTTCCCCGGAGGGGGGTACTACATCCTTAGCTATCGCGGGCCGAACCTGCCATGGCAAGAACTTCGCAGCACAAGTCCCGATACACCGATCCGGGTGATAGACGACAACGCCTCCCTTAAGAAAAAACTTTCCGAATATGATCTTCCTAAAATCTCCTGGTCGACACTCAAGCACCCAGATGGATATGAGCTCAATTTCATGGAGCGTCTGCCGCCAAAGTTCCGTAAGGGGGTGAAGTACCCGGTCCTATTTTATATATATGGTGGTCCGGGTTCGCAAGAAACGGCGAAGACCTTCCGCCAGACGATCGACATTTACTCATACTTGGGATCGGATCCTGAGTTGGAGTATATAGTGGTAACGGTGGACAATCGTGGGACAGGGTTTAAAGGACGGAAGTTCCGTTCCCTGGTTACCGGTCAGCTGGGAAAATTGGAGGCGGAAGATCAGGTCTAGGCAGCTAGGGAGTATGCAAAACGAGACTATGTCGATGGGGAGAAGATTGCAATTTGGGGGTGGAGCTACGGCGGGTACCTTACCGGTAAAGTCCTCGAATTAGATTCAGGGGTATTCTCTTTAGGCATTGTATGTCCCTCCCCCACTTCCCCCCATCTCTACTTCCACGCTCCCGACCTAGCCACTAAAGCCTAAAAGATGACGGCTCCAGTGACCGATTAGCCCTTCTACGATAGCACGTACACTGAACGCTACATGAAACTTCCAACCACAAACCCCGCAGGCTACAATACTTCGGCGATAACAAAAACTGCAGGATTCAAGAATGTTGCCGGTAGCTTCCTCATCCAGCACGGAACTGGTAACAACAATGTGTATTTCCAGCACGCGGCTGTGCTTGCCGATGCCCTGGTTCGTGAGGGCGTGAGTACTGAGAAGATGCGCGTGCAGTGGTTCACTGATTCGGGTCATCAGCTCGAGTTCCATAACGCCATGCTCTTTTCTTACAAGCAGTTGGCCAAGTCGCTGTATGATGAGAAGAGAAGGATACCTGATAGGAAGCATCAATGGAGTCGTAGGGGGGTTGAGAGGGGATGATAAGTGTTGGTAATAGGAGGGTGGTTATCTAGATTATTTTTTTGTTAAATGTACCGAGGGTTAAGGAGGGGGATAGTACCTACTGCCAGGTGTTTAGTGGCCACGGAGGCAGGGTAGAGGGAGCGTCGGTGGAATGGAGGACGAAGTAGACTAATTTGTACAAGAAATTCACCTACCGAAGAACAAGTAAAGGACATTTAAACGGTGAGGTTTACGCGCTTCACTTCGATACAGTTGATGACCGCACTGTTAACTGGTGAATATAAAAAGAGTACTCACCGGAAACCACCTAAGCAAGACAAAACAACACAACCCAAACGGCCCTTACACAGAGAACACAAAGTGAGCACGGCTGAAGAGAGAAAGAGAAGAAAAAAACCCACTTCACTCTTCCGAAGCATTCGATATCACTCACTACCACCTTAACCGGCTTCCACGTTTTCTCCAACTCGCACCAATTCCCCACCTTGTACTATATAACACCGCTCTCAGCTACTACACGGAGGTAGGGCAGCCGAACACATCCTGACTGGCGAACCGCCTAGCGCCGGGAGAAGGGGAGCCTAGGCAGGAGGATTATTGTTTAGGGATTTGTAAGTTGGAGACTTGTAAATTACGTCAAAGTATGATGGTCTATGAGACATAAAGTATCTTCGGCTTAGCAAAAATGAAGTACTGTAGAACAAAAAAGTGACCAAAATTCCAGTATCACATCGCTTTTGAATCCGTCCTAGAACTGAGATCGTGGGTTTGATGGGAATTTAACTACTTAGATTGTGCACATTTCACAGAGAAGTTGTGTTTGTTTTGGGCGTGTTACACTAGTATTCAAAATCCCGGATAGCGGCACCGGGTCCCTCAGGCTTATAGACACGTCTGGTGCGCATCGCATTCGTTAAGGCCCCTCTCTTATTTCCTATCTATGATATATGATACCTGTAGGACCCTGTTTGGCACACAACCATAAAACAAAATGCCATTTTTGAGAAAGCGGAATTTTTCTAGAACAAGACCCTAAGTTTTTAAGAAAAACAGCTGATAATATTATTATAGTGCAGTCAGGAGAGCCTGGGCCTAAAGAAGGGCATTATTATAAGCATGCCAACACAACTCCTTTTTCTTTTTTCTTTTCTTTTAATTTTTACGGTGGAAAAATGCCTCAAAAGTCAGAAAAATGCCACTTGCCTTGCGTGCCAAACAGTGCCCAAGAACTTTAGCACCAGCCGGGCCTTTTTCGTACTTCGCCTATTGATAAATAAATTCCACTCTCCGTTCGAAAGAAGATTTATTATATTTTGTAAAGTTGGAGTGTGCGCTTGACTCTGATAGAATAATCACCATAGCAACATGTACTGTATCTGGAATACCTCCCACACTGTTGTATTCGGTCTTCTTCCCAGCGAACGTCGGGCAAATAGACTAATTGAGATTTCTTAAATTTTAGCCTTCATTCCGGTGGGGTTTTGACTGATCCACTTCAGCTTCTTTGTGCAATAAGTTAACTCAAACATCTCCACTAAGCTATTGTGTTTTAAGAAGAATGACGCCAAATGCCAATTCCTGTTTCTACAGATGATGTGTATATGCGATCCCGACATAGCCCCCCTCACACGATGCTATGATATATAATATATTCCGCAAATGATAGTAAAGTATGTTAATTTACGTAAATTACTTAACCCTAAACAGGACTAGCAAAGGGGGAGGGAAGAAGAAAGAAAGGGTGTGGTAGCTTTTGGGAAATATCTGGTTGGCGGTGGACGGTTGGAGAAGGAATTATTTGGTGCAGGAGTGATCGCGGTATGGTATGGTACAGTACCTTGCGGATGGTGTAGCGTCCTGGGACACTGTGGTGTAGGTCGCCGCTTGTCTGTTCCGGGGCGCGAATAGTGGTCCAAGATATTCTTAGATAGAGGTCCGCAGCGTCGAGTAATTTCTCGTGAAGGGGGATAATGGCACTGGTGCGAGAATTCTTTTCTTTTTCTCCTCTTTCTATTTTTGGTGGGAGGGGTGTTGAGGTGTGAAATGTGGGTATCATACAAACACACTTTCTCAGCTCCAGTGGGTATTGCGCGTTCCCGCCCAGAGAAAAAAGGCTGGGGAAAGTAGGGAGAATGGTAGGAGAGTTATCGCTAAAAGTCTTGGGTTCTCCGGGATAAGGTATGATATGATAAGCCAAAATGGCCGAACGACAGTTAACAAAATGCATTTCAAACTTGTGTACTCACCGCCAGCAGGTCTCACCTGCCCCACTCTAGGTCTACCGAGGTTTTCAAAATGGCTGCCTGGAATAATTCGAGGGACGTGGCAGCGGTGTGATATACTTCGGGTGGTTTACCAGCAAGTACTTTTCCATAGCAAGCGTCGATATAGTGCTCATACACTACCTCCATCCCACTCCTCCCCTCTAGCTCTGCTTTCCCAGAAACCTGAGTGTAATCACAGCACAGTACTGCATCACATACCACCTCACAATACCAGAATAAACGGGAGCTCCGCCGTTCCCGAGTCCCCACGATTCGCGGGACCGGACCCCAGTAGGATTACTGTAAGGTTCTGTTTGTCATACGGCAAATATCGCGACACTTCTGCTTTTATGGCATTTCTTTTGTGATAAATATATACCTAAACATGGCCCTGTTCAGAATGATTCAGATATTGTGATACTGTTTACAAAATATTGTGACATTTTTCAATAGCGATTTTCTTTTGAAAAAGTTATTTTGGGTACAGGGGTCAAGAAAGGTTTTTAGTACGATACAATTACTATCGTCCGGTTATAAAATCATGAACCCATATCATATGTTTTGTTGGCTCAAGTTCTACCTCAGTCCTCTGTTATTTGTGCCCCGGCTAACATGGTAAACATCATCACATGTGAGGAAAAGTATCATACCGCTGAACACTAATATTTCCAGAAAAACACATAGCATTTTTTATTTTACAATAAATACCATTTTCAGGAAATATTACAATATGTTGATATTGGTACACGCCGAACAGGGCCCAAGGATTAGAATAATAAGATAGACGTCAGGAATTTCCTCCTTTGGATTAGAGGGAGACACACGGCGAGGAAACTACGGTACCCTTCAGCCCTCATATGGGACAAGTATTATAAAAAGGAAAATTCAACCGACCTTACTAGGAGAGGTAAATCCAACGTCCTATGATAGCCTCAGGTCGAGTTATTACAGTTTGAACTGTATCCTCTAGAGCTTTACTTGTACGATGCGGCAACGGGCGTAAGCATTCTCGCGTGGTGGGGCCTTGACCGAAATGCGGAGCGGGGGGATGGGAAGTGTTGAGTGTGAGACACCATACAGCTGCGGTGAATCTGGAAAGGCAAAACATGATGCCTTGTGCTTGTGACGTGCGCCCGGGCCAATACAACGCCCGGCGCCCGGCCCACGGGCATGAAGGGGAAAAATGTGGTTTAAGCGGCTTTTGGGGATACTGCGTTCAATTCAACACGGTAATTCCTGTACTGTTATTTTTACTGGAAATATTGAATTTGATACTCGTTCAGGATGAACCCCGAACCTCGGTTTCCCTGCTCCTGATGGTGTTCCATTCCTCTGGGTACTGTACGTTCGGTATTGGGGGGGGAGCTGACCTTGGTGCCGGATTCCTTCAATACAAGTGCTACGGGTATTGCAGAACCTGTGATACCTATCTATAGCAAAAATCGAAGTATTTGAGGATCTCTCAGGACGTTGGAATTATCTCTCCGGGTGAGGTATGTTTGATTATTTTTTACCTTTTGCCTGTCCCAGCTGAGGGCTGAAAGGGAAGGTTTTCGCCGTGTTTTTTCCGCCTAATCCAATGGGGGGGGCAGCACAAACTTAAATCCTTCTCTGGGAAGGGGCAAAAGCACGACAAAAACACAGCCCGTTCCAAGACTACAAAAAAGCAACAAAAATTTCTTGGCCTTACTAAGAGAGCGGAACCTGATGACATAGCACACCGTCCAGTCGTTCAAGTTCTTATGGTACACATGTTTGTATTACCCCATGTGCCCCGCTGGAACAAGAATGGGTGGGAGGAAAAAAGAAAGAAAAAATCCTCGCCAATAGTTAACAACACTGGACCTTTGAAAAGATCACTTTCCAACGTCACAACCCCCGCATCCCTATGAGGTCGGGCACCAGGCGCTGCATGGGCTCTCCGAGCATGCTGAGCCCGATGCGCCGCTCCGAACGGTTAATAAAGGTAGAACACCCAAATTTACACCCCATCTAGATACCACAAATCCCAAGTGATTGGCTTGTGGGTTGGTACTACCCCTGAGGTCCTGCCAATCGGTAGCAAACTTTGTGTTCGGACGGGACTCGTACTCGAGCACTTGAGTGTTCCCACGACCTCATGCTTGGGACTTTTGGGGGATCGAGCAGGGATGATGAACAGCCCCCCCGCAAGTACTACTCATCACTGATGGGGATAGTACTAGCCGTTTTTTTTTAGTATCTTGACAGCTTGGCGCCAAGCCTGATACAAATTTGCTGCAAGGTGCCCATACTCGTACTGTATTTTTGAAATCAGCTACCGGTAAGTTAGTAGTTTAGCTGGCACATGGCTGGTTAGCCTTGTCGGAATGCCAAGATGGATTAATAGGCAATCGCCAGGGCACGATCTGGGCAGTGATAGCTAACCTCAGCCAACGAAAAATAGTCCCGACACCACGAGAAACAGGGATGGATGCAAGCTTGACGTGGGTCGCTAGAACCCTTGAGATCCGGGGTGGAACAAGATGTGAAGATAATATGAAGGCAAGTAGGAGCCAGCCCAAGGCACAACCTGCCCCAAACGGGCGAGGTGCTGAGATAGTGCCCGAGCAGCTGCACCGCCCACCGGGACCCAGATCTCGTCTAGGCCACAGATTAGGTCCCGCCACTACATAGATAACCGCCAGTCGCTATCTGGACCACTCGCTGGTAGTACTAGGGGGGCTGTTCATTATCCCTACCGAAAATTCCAAGTGCAAGTATGATATTTCCCGATTCGCCACAGCCTCTCTAGTTGCCAGTACTGTACCCTACATGCGCTTTCGTTTCGCTGCTATATCCGTCTATTTGTGCAGCTTGGTATGGTATGATTAGTGTGGTCCAAATGTGCGGTATTTTCCCCTCGGAATTCAAAGTTATCGATAAGTGTCGGTGATAGCGGGGCTTTGTTAACGGGTTGCACAATAAAGTAGTAGTAACCCTTACCTGAACACGTCCATAGTGAATAAACAATACTAGTACTAGTATGCGCTGATTAAGAATTTGCGAAAGAGCATGAAATGAATGCAGAGTAACTGTTTTGAAAATTGCGTTTGGTAGCTATGTCTTCTTATCCCATACGGTTCACACACGGACCATTACTTGTATTTCAATAGTAGCATAGGCTACATCTCGTGTCGAAATACATCTGCTTGGTAAGGTCAACTTGAGGATAGAAGTGGCAAAACACATGGCTAATCCAATGCTTTTTTTTTTTGCACTTTTTATCAATCATGCCCCTTAGGGCGGCATCGACAAGCGCATCTATTATTTAACAAAAACGCCTACGTTATTTCACTTTAATTGGTCCGTCTGGTAGAAGTTTTTTCACTTTTTTTTTTCGCCAGCTTGAAGTTGCATGATTAGGAGTTAAGTTTAGCCGTACGTAAAAGATGAGTACATTCTGGGCCGTACGGACCATAGTTGGAGGTCATGGGTTAGCAAGCACGAGTGTAGGGCCGAGGATTTGGCACCTGCATGGGGGAAATCAGCTGAGGATGAACCTATTTTGGGAGATTGAGAGATTGACCGTTGTGGTGGAAAAACATATAAAGAGAGTACAGGAGTAATTCTTCATCATTTCCTCCTTATCTATCAACTAAGGCGAAAATGAAGTTTTCTACTGCATTGTTCTTCTGCCTATTGGGCCTTTTATCCATTTCCCACGCCGCGCCGGCCCCACAAGGGGGTTCAGGCAGCTTCACCTCCCGGAGTACCAAAAGACTACCAACCCTCGCCGATGCCTTATCCGGGAACTTCAGCTACGAGCCAGCCTCTTTGCGGTGGATTTATGCCGAGGGTTCCGAGGACGGGACATACGTGGCGCAGGACAGCTCGACTTTGAGCCTAATGCGATGGGACATCCGTACCAATACCAGCAGCATATTCGTCGACATCGGCGAGTTGAAGTTACCTGATTACTTCAACTACTCCATCCAGCCGTCTGCGAAGCACGTCCTGTTTCGTACAAATTTCACAACACAATACGATCACTCGTATTCCGCCGATTACTATGTATGGAACGTGGAGGCGAAGACCTTGGTTCCCCTCGTCGAGGGACAGAATAGTGATGTGCAATATGCCGAGTGGGGTCCCCATGGCAATGTGATTGTCTATGTCCGGGGGCATGATCTGTTTATTTGGAAGGACGGGGTGAGCACTAGGGTTACCAACGATGGGCGGGAGAGTATGTCTAAAGGTTTGTACTTTCTCCTCTTGATTTCTCTTCTGGGAGATGAGATTAACGGTTTTCCCTTTTTTTTTCTACTTTGGTGGGGAGTCAGAAATGTTCTCGAACTGGTATACGTTGTGTTTCTCGCCGGATGGGGAGTATCTCGCGTACTTGAGGTTTAATCAGACGGGAGTATGCCTCCGATTTACATCTTTTACTCAAGTGGTTTATTGGTTGTATAATACTAAACTATGCTAATGCAGGTACCAACATATAATCTGCCCTACTATATGGGCGGGGAAGAGGTTGCCCCAACTTACCCTGAAGAGCACCGTATTAAGTATACTAAGGCAGGGGAGAAACTCCCCGTCGTTACCTTTCATCTGCTCGAGGTCAAAAATCCGTCTGTCTCGAGGAAGATTGACCTTAAGACTTATACTCCGGATAATATGGTCATCACCGAGGTTGCCTGGGTCGCGGAGAAGCATGAGCGTGTCATAGTCCGCACACAGAGCAGGACACAGGATACTGAGAAGATGGTTTTAGTTGATGTTGAGAGCGGGAATACGAAGGTTGTGAGGGAGAGGAACGCCACAGATGGGTGGTTGGATGAATTTCGTGCTATCATCTGTGAGTTACCATTCCGGGGTGTTTAATGCCTGTGGAGGAGTTGCTAATTATCTTTGCTAGACGTCCCCGGACTTTCTACTCCTTCGTATCTGGATATCTCGGATCATTCCGGCTGGACGCATATTTACCTCTACCCAGTGGCTGGTGGTGAACCAATTGCGTTGACCTCTGGGAATTGGGAAGTCACGACGATCTACTCAGTTGACACTAAGCGCCGTCTAGTCTATTACCAATCCACCGAGCGTGATTCTACAGAACGCCATATATTTTCTGTGAGTCTCGAAGGCAAGACCAAAAAGTCTCTTGTAGACATCACCAAGGAAGGGTATTACGATGCTAGCTTCTCCCCCGGAGGGGGGTACTACATCCTCAGCTACCTTGGGCCAAACCTTCCATGGCAAGAACTTCGCAGCATAAGCCCCGATACACCGATCCGGGTGATAAATGATAACGCCCCCCTTAAGAAAAAACTTTCCGAATATGCTCTTCCCAAAACTTCCTGGTCGACACTCAAGCACCCAGATGGATATGAGCTTAACCTCTTTGAAAGCCTTCCACCAAAGTTCCGTAAGGGGGTGAAATACCCGGTCCTATTCTATATATATGGCGGTCCGGGCTCGCAAGAAACAGGGAAGACCTTCCGCCAGACGGTCGACATTTACTCATACTTGGGGTCGGATCCTGAGTTGGAGTATATAGTGATAACCGTGGACAATCGTGGGACAGGGTTTAAAGGACGGAAGTTCCGTTCCCTGGTTACCGGTCAGCTAGGAAAATTGGAGGCTCAAGACCAAGTTTGGGCCGCTAGGGAGTATGCAAAGCGAGACTATGTCGACGCGAAGAAGATTGCAATTTGGGGGGCGAGCTACGGCGGGTACCTTACCGGTAAAGTTCTCGAATTAGATTCCGGAGCATTCTCTTTAGGCATTGTATGTCCCCTCCCCCGCTTCCACGCTCCCGAACCAGCCACTAAAACCTAAAAGATGGCAGCCCCAGTGACCGATTGGCGCTTCTACAATTTCATGTACTCTGAACGCTACATGAAACTCCCAACTACAAACAGCGCGGGGTACAACGCCTCGGCGATAACCAAAACTGCAGGATTCGAGAACGTTGCTGGCGGCTTCATCATCCAGCACGGGACCGGCGACGACAATGTCCATTTCCAGAACTCGGCTGCTTTTGTCGATGCGCTGGTTAATGAGGGCGTGAGTCCTGAGAAGATGCGGGTGCAGTGGTTCACTGACTCGGATCATTACCTTTATTTCCATGGAGCTACAGAATTTCGACATAAGCAGTTGGCTATGGCGCTCTACGATGAGAAGAGGAGGATACCCGAGGGGGCGCATCAATGGAGTCGCAGGGGGAACTGAGGCAGGCTCGTAATTTTTAGTTTTTTTCACTTTTATTTTTTTATTTTTATTTTTTTCAAAGGAGAAACCGAGTCCCCATGGGGGGTTAGTGTCTATTGTCTGGTGTTGTCGGGTAGTCAGAGAATTGGCAGAATGGAAGATGGGGCCAGTACAATTTGTGCGGGAAATTCAATTTTCGAGGAGCAAGAAGTAAAGAACATTTAAACGGCAAGAGTTGTGCACTTCACTAGAGTCGGTGCCAGCGAGGTTAGCCAGCGGACGGAAAAAAAGAGCACGCCTAGAAAACTCCCCAAGCAAGACACGACAAGACAAAGCAATCCAAACGGTGCTTATCCAAGAATTCGAATAGAAGAACGCCAGACAGATACCTTAGTGGGGTGGCAGCAAATCCCTCCACTTCTCCGAGCCATCTTGTATCACTCACACTTACGACCGCAGCCTAGCCAACCCCCACTCCCAAGCACTCTCGCCCGGGAAACTCAAGTCTTCCACTACGTGTGGTAGCCGGATTTCTCGCGGGATGATAGCGGAAGGGCGGGTGAGAAGGATAGTACTAGGGGGAGGGAGGGGGGGGGGGGTATCGTACGCCTCGGCTCGTTTGGTGCGTCGGCGCGGGTCGAGAGCCATTCCCGCAATCCCTCGCGAGCGCTGTGTCCAATGGTGGCTGCGTAATCGCTGCGCTGGACCGCTTTGGTATGGCGTTACCTGGATCCCTGGCGGGGAGTATGACATATTTATGCATTTGTGGGAGACATTGCTTGCGAGTGATTTTTCGTGAGTAGTTTGGCCATTGTGGTATCATATCATAGATCTCTTCCTTCCTTCTCCCCATTGCTGAGGGCCTGGGTGCGTCGCTGTGTGGCAACCCCGACAGGCGCAAGCTGGGAGTACAATGGAAGAGGAGGAGAGCTTTTCGGGCGGGCTATCAAGTAATTCACGGGACACGTGAGTATCGGGAATTCAATCACGGAGCTTCGTAGACTGGAATCTGTATGGAAGGATATGTCTAAAGCCGGTGGATATCCTCTATCCCCTAAAAAAAGGGGGGGGGGACCAAGCCCTCCAATGGCCGGCTTATCACGTGCGAATGAATGTGGAAAACGATAGAAACAATGAAAAATTCCTTTTCTCGGAGCGTAGTGATAGCGCTGCCCCCTCGCCAGATCCCAAACTACACGCTACGTGATGCTACCCGCATACAGAGGCGTTATTTCGACTGCCCAACCTTCGGGACCACCTTTCGGGCACAATGTCCACTGATGATTTCCACAATCTCAACCATGTGATTGGGCACTGGTCTAGGCATGAAACGTCTCCTCTCAAGACTGCTGATAAGGATCACGACCACGGTCCGCAAAATTAATTGGTCGTTCCTGGATATATCCATACGCGACGAGCCGGAGACAATGGAATCAGAGGGGGTGATATAAAAGTCATAGTATCATACCAAATCTGGAGAACAACCGCCTGTCGAAGGAGGGAGGAAGTGGTTGAGCGCTGCGGGGTTTGGTATCCGGAAGTAGATCCGATGTGCTGGGTTATCGGGAAGATCTAACTTACTAGTCTTCTGGAAAGATCTCTTACTGTAGCCCTAGATGTCACTTAAGGTTCCTTTATATGATAATATTATCGGCTCTTCCGGGTACCCTTTAATTGATTTGTCACACGTCTCATCTGATTTACTTCTCTGTCCGGTGGGTTGTTGCGGTTACTTATTCGGTGGCGGGATTGGAGTGGTTTAGTTTCTTTTTACTTAAGTTCTGGTTGGGCGTGATATCGGCGTGGTATGATATCGTAACTTAGATGGTGTATCCGGGAAAGGCGGGGTCGTGGGGGGGTTGTTAATTGACCAGTGATGGTGGGCGCAGGGAAGCGATAAGATATAAGGGAAGACAGATCCGAATCCCCTGGTTTCTTTCACCTTTGTATCTCCATCCCGCGGCTCCGTTCATGAGGCATTTTACTCGTAGAGTTCGTGACATAGAAATATTAATGACAAAATTTAATGGGAGTACATATCCACAACACCTAAATCAGGGCAAGCCTATTTACAAAACCCACAGCCGAACCCTTTAATCCAATGCCCCGCTAGGGGGACATCCAAACCCCCCGCCTAAACCTAAAAGTAACAAACCACATTCCTGATATCGTACCCCAACTAGCACGCGATCCTAACCTCCATCGGGGAAGAAGGGAGAGAAAAAGTGAGCTCACGCCCTCGACAGCACTCATCACGATCCCACCGGAAAGAGCTCCCGTGTCAGCGGGCTCTATATCCGCGAGCATTTGCTCTGATACTCCGACAGTGAGCCAGCTTTGTCGGGCGCGGATTCGCCCTTCCGCCGGGATTTCATTTGCCAGGTGGGCACCTGCCTTTTTTGGGTTCCTTCTTAGCCGATGAGGTTGTACTCCGGGAAAGTGCGGTTTGAACGTCATTCCCTCCGTCCCCGTTGGTTGGAGAGCTGTCGCGAGTGAAGTGATTGTCAGGATTGAATAGCAGCGGGGATTTCGTTATGTGTTGTGATTGTTTGGACTGGGTGGGGGATTGCGTCGTGTAGTCATGGGTTCCGGGCTAATTTCTTCCTTTTTTCACTTTCGTTTCTTCTCCCCGCTTCTCTTGTCTCCCCCTCATGCTCCCAATGGGAACATGGGGGGTGGTTTCCGATTATTTGGCTCGGTCGTTAGGCGCAGGTACCGGAGTTAAATTTATCCGGCGGTCGGCCCCTCGCGGGTCGGGCCGTTTGAAGATGCCCCAACAGGAGTTCGGGAGGCTAATATACGTAGCGGTTTGGGAGAGGGAAGGAAAAAGGACTGGTCACAACGGATAATTGAGTCAGCAGGATTAAGCATTAGGCGAGGGGTAAGTCGGGTGGAGATACAGTAAGCCCGATAGTTTTTTATTTTGTCAAGTTCGTAGATTTTTCGCCATGGCTTTCCGGGTCTTTAAAAATCTACGGACTTAAGAAAAAAAACAAGTACCGGGTTAGTTTATCTCTATCCGATAACCTACCTCTGATAGTTGTGCGAATAGAGTTATTATACCTTCCACAGCCCCGCCCCAAGTCTATGACATCGTACCGATCTTCTCCTCACTCGACCTGAATGCCATCCCCAAAACTGTCCTCATCCTGAACGCCGCAAACGCAATGAAGCAAGCAATGAGTAGGAAGATTATTACGATAACGGCGATAACGTGACTATCTTGTGTTAGAACAAACCAGCTTCCTATTCAAACAATCAGCGAGATCAACCAACACCAGAGCGAGGAAAAAAATAATTACCGAGGGCAACGCTTCTGAGAGCTGTACTTTGCTTGCATTAATACCGATCTAAATGGGGTGAATGGGACTAGTGCCCGCAGTGGCAAATCAGCTCATTGTTGCATTCATTCGTAGTTTTATGAAAGATAGTAACACTCACAAGCTCATACGCGATAACTGGTGCTCGTGGGTTCGGTCCCTCGTAGAAAAGGGAAGCAGAGGACAGGTAAAACAAAAAAGGAAAGAAAAAGAAAAGGTTGCCAAAAGGTCACAGTAAACCTGCCAGCAGAAACTCGACGTTTCTCGCACGATAGATAACCCAGCCCAGGAAGGAGAATACCGTGGGACATGGCTTTGTTATGTAGACAAGCTCACGACAGTCGCCATGTCATACAGCGCAGACTCGACACGTTGATGTGGGAGAATCCACCCCTGCAGGAAACCGTTCGATTGGATCGTGGATCGAGACACTCGACGAATGTTGTTTCCTGAGAGCCAGATCGTGTTACGAGAGCTGCCAGGGTATGGCAAGCTCACATTGTTTGGACGGAATAGTGTCAGCATCGGCAGCACTTCCTTTTTTTGAGCGGAGTTTGGAGTCTCAGTGGACGAGCGGGTGGACCAATTGTGCCGTGGAGAATTGTACCTGCGCCCTGTGGCTTTCCGCTGTGGTCGATTCGAAGAATTGCTTGGCCAATTGGGTGAATTCGGGTTTCAAAACACAGGCACTTCTTATCGGTTGCGCACTGGGATAGGTGCAGTGAATCAGCGAAAGTGAGATGCGATAAGCAGGAAACATCCTGACCAATTGGTCGCTGAACCCGCAAAACTGCAAGTGTGAGTGGATTTTAAAAGAAAGAAATGCATTCACAACTGTGTTTATCCGGAGTCGGAACCCCTAAAGACACATAATATTATCATAATATACCGTAACGTTCCGTTCATTAAGCTGCGATATCCAAAACCTTGCCCAACCGACTACTCTCCCCAATCAACTCTACCAACCTGATAACCCTCACCGCCTCTTCCGCCGGAACAGCGACACCCCCCTCCGCAATCTTTTCATAAAACTTTCCATAATCACCCACTTCAGCGACCGTCCGCTCAACACTCCCGTCCTTCAACTCCAGCTTCCCGAAATGCTCCTCCTCCTCAACACCGAACCCTTCTGTCCCTGGAATCCTCCCGGACATCAACTGTGCCTCCTGAGTATCCAGATTATGTTTAATCCAACTACCGTCCACACCCCTGAGCAGGAACCTTAATTGTGGTGTTTGACAGGATAGTGTGGAAGCCTCTACCCGCACAGTAAACGGCTTTTTGCGAGGCGGGGTGGAGGTGTAGTATAGTGTCGCGGTGAAGAAATCGTCGACGAAGCCCTCCTGGCCCCAGATTGCTGATGGGGTTACACTGCAGCCGCGCTCATCGCGGACATCGCCAAAGATGCGTTGGGGCATGCCGAAAAGATAAACGACTTGGTCTAAGAGGTGCACGCCAAGGTCGAAGAGGGTGCCGTTTCCGAGTGCTTGTACAGACTTCCAAGACTTGGAGGGGTTGGGAGTAGTATCAGGCCTGTATCTATCGTAATGTGTTTCTAGAGAAACTAGCTCCCCAACTCTTGGAAGCACTTTAGCGAGGGTAAGGAAGTCGGAGTCGAATCTTCTATCTTATGGAGCGACATTTGTTAGCTCCCCGAGGTGCAGGGGGATGGAGAGACAGCTCACTCTGATAAACGTTAATCCCAACCCCCTTCTTCCTCGCTAAGTTCACCAACTCCTCCGCATCGGCACTCCTAATTGTAAGCGGCTTCTCGACAATAACATCCTTCCCCTTCTCAATCGCTTCCTTACAGTAACGGAAGTGGGTATCATTGCTTGTAGTTATAACAACGACCTTACTCTCACCATCACTCTTGTAGAACTCCTCCACGGACCTGTAGACTTTGACGTCTGGATGATCTTTAGCGGCGTCATTCCCTGGCGTCGGATTTCGCTGAATGATCGCCGAGATTGTCAGATTCGGATTGTGCTGGATGAAGGGTATGTGGAAGATTTTGGCGGAGAATCCATAGCCGATTATGGCGATTTTTCGGGGAGACATTGCTGGTTGGCGGTGAGTATGGTGGCGATAGGCGAGGCGGGATGCGGGGTGAAGTGGGGCGCAAAAAGAGTTTGGATGAGGGTGAGGGGTTTACTCTTTTATACTGAGCCTGAGATTCGATAAACTTTTACTCTACGGCAATAAACTGTCCTGAATGGTATTCACAATTGACTTCTTGAGGGGGGAGGTGTTTGTAAGATGTAAATCGGTATGTATGATACATAGTGTATAATAAAGCGGATCGTAGTGGGCACGCATGATACTCGTAGTTTGCTGGTAGAGGGTTAGGGTTGAAACTGCCCGGATCCTAATGCGGTTGGTGCAGGTACTGTACTCGTACATTACTATCAGATGGTTATGATACAAGTGCAACGTCAAGGTTAAAGTTATGATACCGGTAAAAGTTACGTGCGGGCGAAACCTTGGGAGGCCTATTAGGTCCATGATACTACTGATAGAAGGGCTATTATTCACAGTTATGGATGCGGGCAAGCACGGCGAGTTTTGGCGCAAAGAAGTCTCTCACCTGCACTTCTTACACCCCATGGAATGGTTTCAATACCAGATGGAGTCGGTGTTGTGGCCCCTCTAGATTCGCTATGATCGACCTGGGTATCGGACGGAAGCCCTTTGGAAGAAGAGAATTGTGGTAGGCAAATGGAGACCAACTTAGGGATGTGGAGTATTTCTCCTATCATACTGTTGAGCTGTCAGGCACTCTTTAGAGTGCCCCTGGTTGTGGGCTTGCGAGCACCAAGGGTTGTGGCGGCATGCCACAACCTTGGCACGAGTACCGGTACTCGAGCAGCCCAGAAAACGAGGGACGAAGAAGCCGAAGAAGCTACTTGTACTCGTGGAGAGCTTTCTGACCACACCTTTTCCTACCTCTCTCATCTAACGCTGAATTTCAAAGCGAACCCTCTTTACTGCTGCGCCATACATTTGCCATCCCAAGATGACCTAATGCCCTTGCTTGTGTAAACCCGGACCGGCGCAACTAGTATATGTTATTTACATATTGGGTACCGAGATGAACACCCGAGAGTGCCCGCGGTGAAATCGGCTATCTTGGCAAATACTATATAATACTGTACAGTACAAGTACACAAGAACGGGTACTTGTAAACGGATCAATCGAAAATATTACACATTCCCTAACTAAAAGTACCACAGTATAGCTCCTCGAAATGTCAATACAGTCCGGGAAACCCCTCCCGTAACTTCGCAGTGTGTTCTATCAAGATAGAGGTCATCCTTTTTTTTGATATTAATCGGCCCCGCAATGTATCATTCTCCACCAGCACCGTACGGCACAGCGCAACCCAGAACAAGACCGCCTCGCGACCGCGGGGGTTGTAAAAAATACTGGGTAATACCTTGTAATCTATAACTATGCCTGCATCCCCGTAATATCAGGGTTTAGAGGGACAGAGCCCTCGGTAGGATTTGTGTTTTCTTGCCCCAATATAATATCAGCGAACTAGACATATTGGATACTGGACTTGGTACAGCACTCGCTCTCTTAACCTCCCAAACTAAGGTTTATTATTTCCTAGCCTTCAGATTTTAACCAAAGCCCTGATAAAGATGCTTCAAGAAATTACAGCAGCCAGTCTGTCCGCTTTTCTTTCCCACAGCACCCAGCAAGTATTGTGTCATGGCATCCATTTGGCTCTTTCCTGTCAAATTCTTTAGATATCTATATACGCACTGTCCACTTGTCAAACAAGTGGGATCTGGTCATCAGGTAACAAACCAAATCCAATCTCTTTCCTCCCACTGCCCAATCACTCAACCACCTATAGACAACGATGCAACCTTAGCATACCAAGCGCAACCGTACCAGGCAAGGGAGAACACAAAGGAAGGGAGAAAAACGGGATCAACCAAGGTCTCAGATTTGGTTGAGAACAAAAGGCGAGTTCCCAGCAGTATTCCGGAGGGGCCCGGGGGCCGATGGAACGGGAATGGATATGGACCGACAAGAGTCAACTATGTAACTAGACGGACGACCCCCAGCAGTCCATTCAAGGTAGTAATATCTTAGAACAGTCGTATTTGGCCAGGACGGTAGGCCGCCATAGTGTGGAAAAGGTTCGAAGGGGAAGAAGTAGGAGGGTATTGAAGAATGAATCCATGATGTTTAATGATTGCAATCCCAGAGCTATCTATTTCAAAAACCAGGCAAACAAGCATGAATGAGCCGAGTAGCAATCTCAATGCTCAAATTTGTGGATATGGCCTCTTCCCAGGAACAGATTTTTCGGATTTATTGGCTGTCTTGAACAACAACTTTGGAAGCATCCAACGACCCCAGAAAAATGAGTAGCCATACCCTAACTCTATAGGATTGTGAAGTATCTATTGGGAGTAGCAAGAGGTGGAAAACTCAACCTGGGTCGGGGTACAATCGGAATGCAGATTCGGGGTGGCGAAGAAAAGGAGTCTACATACATTTTAAATCTCCGGAGCCCATTCCCGGGCGGGCGGATGAAGTGGCGTGTTGCGGTGGGATATATACCTTAGTTGGGTAATATACAGGACTGCGGACAGAGACTAATTGTCAGTGTTGACCGCATAACACCGAGTGTCCAGGCCCATGGTCTCTCCAGCTCTTCGCCTGTCAGGCATAGAGCATTTGGGTATGATAGCTAGAAAATATATGGACCATAGCGTCCTATCCGATCTCTAAGAGCGGCCCGTTGGGTACGCTGGGCCGGGCTTCCCGCCGGACCTCCGAGAGCTAGGGGTTGCAACACGAGCAAATCGTTCCCTATCTCCTCGAGGTTTCAATGGCCTAAGCTCTATTTCTGTATTTGTACTAGAGTCTGTATTTGCGCGGCTAAGTTGGGGCTAATTTCTTGACAGGGTGCCTGGCTTCAATCCAACAAGGCGAATGTAATCCAGAGATCACAGCTGCTCTCCTAAATCAGGGGAAGGGGAAAAGCAGACAAAAATTCTTGTTGATCTTTGTCTTTTCTTTTACTACCCGCCGATCGCGGGCCTTGATTCTACCACCTCATATGATAGAAGTTCTGATATATCCTACAGCCTTACTGAGGAAGGTTAAGGGCCATAAATCTTCCAGTCCCCATAGGGCAGGATTTGTTAATCCTCCTGCCATACATGGCGGATCGTTCAAGAATAACTCAATTGTGAGTAGGGATTGAACTCCTGGGCTCCTGCTAAGCGCACGAGAGTTAATTTTTTCATGGCTTTATTATCCACTGCGCCAACTGGGCACTTCACATAACAATACCGCGACAACCAATACCTATTCCGCCAGCAGGTGGGCCACTATATCTCCTAACACAAAACCAGAAACACCGTGGTACTGAATACGGTGAGTGATAAACCGGTTAAAATTACTGCACAATATCATACGTTATCACCACCCGCCTTGGCAGAAACTCATCCCTAGACTAGAGCCACCCAGCTGCCGTATTCCATGTTACTCCCAACTCAACAAAGAGGTCATTTCCAGAACGAGTCCAGATCTGCTGACACCCCAATTTGAATATGCGTCATCCATCAAAAACAAAACAAAAAAAATATTCGGCCCCCGGCTACTTTGCTATGCTCGTACGAGTGCTAGTATAAGTACCACGTTCCCGCCCGCAAACGTATGTAAGGAAGGCTCCACACACCCCGTATCATAGACTACTCGCACCCGAGCACTTGTAGGGAAAAAAAAATCGGATATGGTAGCCTGGCCGACTTTGGACCGGACTACTCTGAGGTGGCCCCGAAGTACTAGTACTGTACAGGTGCCTAATAACGGCTTTTATTCTTTAGAAACCGGTTTTTCACCTACTACGGGAGTGGTCAGAGTGCCGATAGTACGATACATTCGAATCCGCAGGTTCTCGTACAGGTTCGGTATCATAGCACAATGTGTCCCATCAGCCTCGGTCCCGGCTAGCAAGACAAGGACAACCCTTTTCCGAGAAATCCTTCTTTTTCTAGTAACGGCGAATTCCATAGAGGCTATTCACTTTTTTTTTCCCTCATAAATAGCTTCTAGTGCTAAGGGCTGCCAAGACTCTGCGATACACCAGACGTTACGAGGCGTGCGAGGCTTTGCAAACACAAGTGTGCAGTGCTATCACCTCTGGCGCCTGATATGGTTTCTACCAGTAATTGCTCCAGTCATAATTGTATCTACGCACATCTGACTCAAGTGGGCCACCTTCGCTTGGAAACCCCTCGCTATACAATTTATGAGGGTAGAGGGAATTGCCATTACCTTCTGGGGTTCCTGGTACTTTATCTATTTGTTTGTTTGTTCAATTGCTTCTCGACCAAATATTTTTCAGTGAAATGCCCCCGAGAATTATCACCCTCGTTCGCCACGGGCAAGCCCATCACAACATCGGTTGGAAATTCGATTGGCACGACCCCTACCTAACCCCTTTGGGCGAAACTCAATGTCATGAGCTCTCGGAAAGATTCCCATCTGAACCTCCTGTCGACTTGCTCGTTTCTTCCCCCCTGAGGCGAACGATTCAAACGACGCTTCTAGGGTTCAAGCAGCAGATTAAGAGCGGTGTCAAGATGGAGCTCTTGGCCGAGCTTCAGGAGTCGTCTGAGATGCCATGTGATACTGGGAGTAGTCGCGATGTGTTGGAGAAGGAGGAGTTGTTCCGAGATGTGGATTTTAGCGGTCTGCCGGATGACTGGACTTCGAAGGTAATATAGGTTCCTGCACGCTCATTGTGCAGCATGATGCTCGTGCTGACGGCTATCAGAAAGGAAAATGGGCCCCAGACCCTCATTCTCTCGGGGAACGTGCCAGAGCCGTTCGTAAATGGCTCAAGTCCCGATCAGAAGGCCATGTTGTCGTAGTCCTGCACGGTGGTGTAAGTTTACCGTACTCTATTCTCATTATTCCCTGCACTAGACTGATATTTGTGTGGATAGTTCCTTCACTACATCATAGAAGATTGGGCCGGCCGCAGCAACCTCCTAGGCAATTGCTGGAGAAATACTGAATTCCGTTCCTATGTCTTTGCAGACGAGGATGAGGATAATGCTTCGGTTGTTGAGACTGATGAATCGAAGGAGAGGAGGAAGGGGAGTAAAAAGCCATCGGGCGAAGGTGAAGCGGTTGAGAAGGTGATGAGGAATTAGAAGGGGTAATTATTGTATGAAGAATTGTTTTACATGAATGGTTTTGTTAGTGGTAGAGTAGGCACAGTACCAGGATACGTTGTATCATCCTATTGTGCTCTAGAATCGGGAGAGCGACAATAGGATTTTCACTTGTTAAAGTTGTAGATTTACTTTGTGATAATGGCTACGCGTAGTTCAAAGATACCGGCATTCGAGAGGCCAAAAACTTGATGCTTGAGGTTGACACTAGCTCTGTTCCACCGAGTATCGCAGACAACTGCTTGGAACCCTTAAATTAGAGTATGGGCTCTCGCCGCAACTCAGACTAAGTCTATTGAGCCTCCTAGTATTCCCCCCCCCGTCTTGAGGCTCCGCACAAGGAGAAAAAGGTGGGGTTATCACATCCCCACCAATCATTCCACCTGCCACGTGACCCTGACAAGGGCAAATTCAGCCGCATGTTGCCGACGATAGGCGATTCCGTGGCAGAGCTCCAACCTTTCCCTAACAACAACACCACTGACGATGAACTCCCTCACCGCCGACAACGCCTGCGATCCGAATCATACCCCAGCATCTCGCAATCCATTCTCCTTATAATTTCCTTACCATAGAAGCTTTAATGATGAAGAATCCGTTACTGCCACTCCGCTCCCTACACCCTACTATCAAAGTCCCCCGACGGAGATACGCTGCGCTCAGCTCCGGGGTGCTAGGGAAGTTGAATGTCCCGACAGATTACTCCGCTTCATCATAGTAAACCCTCCCCACTTTCTCCCTCGCCCTTTGTCTACTGATTAGACCCCTTCGCAGCCTTGCCCACACCTCCTCTCAAACCTACAGGCTCCACACCGACCTCCCAGAGCAGATCCGATCCAGCAAAACCAAGCGCACAAACTACTTCACAGCTGTGAACGATGCCCTCCGTACAATCCTAACAACAGACGACAAGTCCCTGATCTTCGGTGAGGACGTCTCCTTCGGCGGGGTCTTCCGATGCACCAGCAATCTCACAGACTCCTTCGGCAGCTCCCGCATCTTCAACACCCCACTATCCGAACAGGGCATCATCGGTTTCGCCATTGGCCTGAGCGCGAGCGGGTACACCGCTCTTCCTGAGATCCAATTCGCGGACTACCTATTCCCTGCGTTCGACCAATTGCACAATGAAGCCAGCAAGATGCGCTATAGATCCGGCGGTGCGGAGATCTTCAACGCTGGACGCATGGTAGTAAGGATGCCGACCAGTGCGGTGGGCCACGGTGGGCTGTACCATTCGCAAAGCCCCGAGGGCTTCTTTTTAGGAATGCAGGGGATTACAGTCGTCATCCCCAGATCCCCTGTTCAGGCGAAGGGCTTATTAATTGCAGCTGCGAGGGGCGAGGACCCGGTTGTTATCATGGAGCCAAAGACTCTCTACCGCGCTGCTGTGGAAGAGGTGCCACTAGAGGAATACGAGTTACCGATCGGTAAAGCCGAAGTGCTTCAAGCCGGCACCGACGTCACACTGGTGACCTACGGGACAATGGTATACGTCGCCGAATCCGCGGCGAGAGCCGCGAAGGAACGCTTGGGCGTTAGCGTCGAGGTCATCGACCTCCGGACCGTGAGACCGTGGGATAAGGAGACCATTACCAAGAGCGTTAATAAAACTGGTCGATGTGTTGTCGTACACGAGGCCAGTCGAACCGGCGGCGTGGGTGAGAGTCTGGCCGGGGAGGTGCAGGAGAGGTGCTTTTTGAGGCTCGAGGCCCCCGTTACCAGGGTTACCGGGTGGGATACCCCTATGCCGTTAGCATTTGAGGGGTTTATGGTGCCGGATGTTGTGAGGGTGTTGGATGGGATCAAGAGAACCATGGAATATTAGTACCATCGGTGGGTAGGGGGCAGAAACATGGGGTCCAGACAAATAGAAGTCTTCAACATCACCACCATCTTTCTCTCTATCTCCATCCACCTTCCCCGATTTTCCTCTACCATCTGCAAGTTGTTGCATCGATTCCTCACTATATTTTGCGCAATTTCGGAAAGGCCCCAACCCAGGATGAGGTATACCACCCCGTAAGTCTCACCGGTACGTCCATCTAGACACCCCGCACTTACCACCGGATCTCTTTCGGCCATGTTTGTACTAGATATCTATCTTCCAGCTTTATTAGACATAGTAGCTTCTCATGACCCTACAGTCTGTACTCAAGAGTTTTCGCGAAAATCCGAGATATCCTAGAAAACGTATTTGAATATGATAAGTATGGATGGTAGAGTGTGCGCTTTCCTGTCCATCCACCACTGCCACGCCAAGACAGCCAAAAAAAATACTTGAAGAAAGAGATCTTCCCTCCTACGAGGAGCAATTCCTCCAGAAAAATAGAAGTTGTGGCTTTCCACGACCAGAGTTTGTGCCACAGTATCGTAGAGGCAAAGGGGTGGTGGTTTAGGAAGTATTCCATTTTTCTTCGCTTTTTATCATATTCCTTAACACCAAATCTGTAGGTTCTCAGGCTCTTTGGAGGCTTTTGTTTTTTTATTCCGACACTGTCTAGTTAGCGGCCTCCCACCATCCCTTCTATACTCTTCGTTCTCTTCAATACCTTCGGAAGTTGCAACAGTAATCACTCGAGATGCTGACCAGCCGCCCCACCAACTTTTGTGCAGAGAGGGACTGTAGACCGCACCAAATACCTTCATCAGATACTTCCTAGGTCGCTGATATCAACCTTATTATCAGAATTAAAAAAACAAGAGAGAGAGAAGGGATCCGTCATGTGTGGATTTCTCCTACCCTTTTTATTTGCTTACCCGGACAAACTCCAGTTCGATCCCCTCTCTCCTGCTCACGGGAGCCATGCTCTAGTCTTATGGAATTCTCTTACCAGAGTTGCCGAAACTCTGGATGGGGTGATAAGAAATAGGATCTTCCAGGGCTAGAGTCACATATAGCCACCGGTATGATATCCTTGTGACACTTGAAAGAACGTAGACACGAACATAACAATTCATCATGAAATATCACTCGCCTGAAGGCCTGGAGCGCAAGGTTTTTACGGTCGGTCGACATAGCTTATGACTCGATGCGATACGATACGGTACGGTAACCTACTGTTAACACACCGTTAACTTGGTAGACACTGTTAGCCGAGCCAACGTGGGAGAGTTTAGGTCTCAACGGGGATGCCTTTACACGCCAAACCTTACTCTCTATCGGACTCATTTCGGGGGGCCCCCCAATATATTGCTAGAAATACCCCGACCCAATTTGCTACTTTGATATGTACGCTAATGCTTACATCTGTTGCCAGGTTTTTCCCCGCCTCAGCAGTTTAATTTTGATATCCGTGTTTTTATAATATGTCTCGGGTTGGGTTGTTCTAAGACTGCCTTATATAGCATGAGGTTTTTCGACCCCCAGGCTGAATGCTTCCAATACAGCTCGGCAATACTATCCACAGGTTTTCAAGGCCAAATTTCCGGCTTTCTCGGTCAGTAGCATCAGTTCCATTGTCGCCGTTGGTACCGGAAACCGGCTAGTCTCTGAACATACTGCATCTTACAATTTTCTTACGGTGAACGCACACATCACACATACCCTACTGTCCCAACATTTTACCCCACCCTAAGCATTGATAGTCGCTACTGTAGTGGGATCAGGCTTGGCTCTGTCGCGGGCTGCGGTGCTAGTATCCATATAGGGGGTGTTACATAATTGGTGGTCTGTGTGGGGAGGGGACACGTTCAAGAGACAAAGAGAAACATTGCTTTACCAAGACCTTTGTTCTCTGGCTTTACTATTATTAGCACAGTACGGGCAAAATAAAAGAAACGGGCTCTGCCTCGGTCTGTTCATGCACAATCTAAATTCGAGAATCATTATTTCCAAGCAGGGAGGTTTAGTTACGATATCACCACCCTTTCCCCAGCTGTTTAGTAACGCCGCTACACTCAACCACCCGCCAAAGGTACGAGGATTATCGATAAGTGTATGAAACACACGATACGATGCTATACATACTGCACCTTGCCGTTGTCAAGGCTAGTATAAAAAAAAGTTGATATCAATGAAATTGAAAGAGGGCGAGGGTTTACACACCACCACCAGAACAAAGGAAAACTCAACCAGCCCTTGGCACTGCGGACAGGAAAAAATACTGTATATAGATCCAATTTACCTCCTCCTCAGTACGGCCCTCCTACACAATACCCTCCAGAGATTCCCTACTGGTCGGCCATCCAATATCCACTTGTTGTAATGGGATCCAATTTGCGAGCACCTTCTGTAACGTGAACTCCTATGGTAAAGAACACCGTTACCCGGCATCAGCTTTGCAGCGGGCGGTCCGGTTTTCAGGTGTTGTACCCTACAGCTGTGATTTACGGTACGGCGTTAGTTTGTCGTATGCTAGCGTAAGAGATTATTGGGAAGTTGAAAACACAATGCTTTGGCAGCTTGAATAAGGTTGTTTGATTGAGAAGAAACGAGGTGTGTGATGCACAATGCTCCAGGCTATCTCTCCTTAGGGGGGATAGTTTCAGGCGCAGGTGAGGATATGTGGGGGGGGGGGATATATTTAATACCGGAGGTGGAAGTGTTGGTTATGTCCACGATATTTTTTCTCACCCTATTTCTCTTGGTCACGAAACTTTTGGAAAGCACAAAAACAGGATTCACTCCGCTTAACACTTTTGACAGGCAGACAGATTGCTGTCTCAGTGGCAATCCTAGGCCCAAGGAGAGCACAACGAGGAGGACAAAAACAAGAAAACCAAGAAACCGATAGAAGGGAAGGAAAGCACAGGCTACTCACAGCTTCTTACGATACAACAGCTGCCATTCAGCAGCGGATTGTCGAAATGTGTCACATAATAGTACACCTGTTTTCGGGATGCTACCCGGCCCCCTACAGTGAGGAGGTACTTCTAGAGGGGTACTACAAATATGAACAGGAGGACCCAGGGTCGGAATCAGGGAGGGACCCTTCACCCATTCCGAGGCCATGCCTCCTCCACACACCAGAAACCCCAAATACGCCTCCAGACGTTCCTTTCTCTCCAGAAACGCAGACATCCCCCTCTGATCCACAGGCTGAAGAGGGAACACCCCTGACAGCTCTAGAAGAGCTTGCCCTACTATTAACCTCCATCGATAAATCCAAGAAAGGTGGACACGGTGGAACTGGTGAAGAGGAGTTAGCTGTTGAGCTTCAAAACTACATATGCATCCTCCAGGACGCCGCGGATGAGAATTGGGAGCGGGAAAAGGAGCAGTACGTATGCGTTTTGATAGAAGCTCTACTGGAAGGGCTCGGGGACGAAGGCGAAGGAGTGCGGATTGGTTCTGCGAGTACGCGAAAGAGGGCATTTTGCAGTGAGGATGAGGGAGTTGAGGAGGCTGGTGGGGGCAAGAGGAGGATGACCGCTGGTGATCAGAAGAACGTGACGAGAAAGAGACCCTAGTTTGTTTGTGGATTGTTTAGATATCCTTTCGACCAAATTTTGATAGGGTGGAGGAGAGGCGAAGACAAATATTCAGATGGTATGATAGGTGTATATACGATTGCACAATTTAATTGGAATCATAGTCTATAAAACAGAATAAATAGACAATCATCTCAATCATCTCAATCCCCGGCCTGTTCCATGTATCATGTTGGAAGCTATTTGATATCATAGCGATGGATAATCCCCGAGGTTCATTAGTACCACTCGACATCTCCAAAATTTAATAACTTATTTTCCCAGCTCCTCGCCCATGCTTGGCTCCCCCGCTTTTTTCTTAGCAGGGGGTGTTCCTAGATCCGTCTGGTCCGGCAATATGAGCAGAGTCTATGGGATCTTTATCAGGTGATTTGGTTAATGGCGGAGTAGAGTGGGGTATGAAATGTTTGTGTGAATTGTCGGAATTTCAAGTGATCGGTCCAGGGCGGGACTCTTTCGGAAGATTTAAATATATGAGATTAGCGCCTGCGCCGAGGGAGCTATTCTCGTACTCAGTTTTTTTCTAAGATACCCAGTGGATTTTTTCAACCCCTATATACGCTAACTTACAGTCCGCTCGATATTTACAGCAACCAAACCCTATCGATAGCACTATTCCTCGCCCATAGCTAAAAGTGTGCATTCATAAATTCCCAGATATAACCCACTCCCGGCACCAGTCCAAATACCCCTCAAGGCCCCTCCCCTCCAAAGACCTCTCACTCCCTCCTCCCTCCACACGCTCTTCGCTACATCTACCGCTCCCAGCCTTCTCCCGCTGTGTTTATTCGCTCCTAGCATAACAATTGTCTTCACCATATCCACCGGCGTTGTCAACCATGCCGCCACACCCCCAGACAACCCAGCCGCCGCGCCCGTAACCTTTGCAGTCTCCATCAATCCGTTTCCCCGTTCGCGCACCCTGAACATCACCTTCAGCCGCTCATAAAGTGGAAATTGAATGACAACAAATGGGAGGTTGCGACCCGCTAGGAGTGTGAAGCCCCGCCAGAGATCTTTGGGGTTACGCCCAACGAGCTTCAGGGCCGCAAGTGAACTCGAACCCTTGGCTTCATGCATGACCTGCGCATTCTGTTTGATCACCTCAGCGGGGGTAGCCACCACGCACCCAAGGGCTTCCGCGAGAGACGAAGAGAGTACGTGTGTTATCGGCTCGGGGATTTGCGGCGCGGAGGTTCGCAGAAAGCTTTTTGAGGATTCGTAGGATGTGAAAAATACAGCCGCTAGCCACCGCAATCACCAAGTTAGAAAAAATGGATCGCAACCCCCCGGAGTGGTATGAGCGAACATACAGCCAGGCACCATCGCGAGAGTAATCGGCCCGATACCCTGGTATAACCCGCGTAGCCACATCTTCCTCGGGCGCGCCGACTGCGCTGCGAGTTTTCGGAATGCGGGTGATTGGATTCTTGTCTTTAACGTATCGAACGGGTAGAAGGTCAGGCATACCGTGAGTCCCGCTGTCGGTCCTGCCTTCGTCATCATCAATAACTCTGCGAAAAATGGCAATAACAATAATAACTTTTAGAAGAGGTTTAGGGCTCCTTACGATGAGATCGGCGGTCCTCATTCTGACCGGTTGGCTTGCTGTGAAAAAAGCGAAAAAAGAGGAGGTAAAAAAACACACGTGCCCCCTCAAAAGAACTTGATGCAACCCGATGTCGGAACAAGGGATTTACAACCAGGATTCGAGATTTTCAACACTAGCGACCACCCCATGTAAAATCCTAACCTGACTTTGCGTCCATTGATTTGAATTCCTTGCAGGATGACATGTAATGAATGGAGAACGAGAAATGGCAATAGAAACTTGAATCATTGAACCGTTTAAAATGCACTCAAGTATGGAAGTTAGTGATGAGACAGACAGGGGTCTAGGTGGCCGAATATATATGCGCAATTCGCGGGAATTCGTAGATATGTCCTCGGCCACTTGAGCCATGCCCGTCTCATCACTAACCTGCATACCCGAGTAGTCAAAAATTCCAACCATTCTTGTGCTATGTAGTCCAAAATTTCCTCCTCTGGAAGAAGGGTTCAAAACACCGACCTTACTAAGAGAGGCAAGTCCAACGTCCTAGCACAAGGATTGTTTATTCGAGTTCTTACTCGACTACTCGAATATCTTTTCACCTGCCCGAACCCTATTGGCGCAACTCACCCGATAATGGCAGAAGTTCGCGTGGGATCCCTCAGCCTTCAGGCAATTAAGGAGATTTCACCGGCACTGTTTGCCCCCCCCCCCCGGTCAACGGCATCAGATCGGGTTCAGTGGGGCGCATTGTGCATCAGTTTTCGACATTGCTGAAATCGTAACTGCTCTCATGAACCAACGAAATTGAGATCACAACAGCGATTTTCTGGGTATTGTGCCCCTTGTATGAGCTGCTATATGTGGACAGGTAGGGTACAAATCCGCGGCTAGAACAGACTGTCATCCCCGGGAAATTGGATAATGCTTTCATCAAACAGCGCTCTCATGGGCAACTGGAAAGGGATACGAGATTTACTTTAAAATCCTCCTCAAAAGTCCTCACCTCCTCGTACGCACGCAGGGAACACAAGTGCGCACCCTCGGCTGAGCATCTATGGACATCCACCAGTGGTTGAGTGGGTATTTGCAATCCCATCCAGCACCATTCCCAGTGCAGCTGGGCATGCTCAGCACTGCTCATATACTTATGGGAATGTTCAGTCCATGATTTTTCTTTTGTCCTACTGTATTTGTGCCACACTACAATTCCGCATTTAAGTTTAGATTCGCCCTTGCCCCCTATTGATGATTGGTTCCGCCTTTTATCCGTCCCTCGTTGCTTCCCGATTGCTTTTCTCTCTCCTACAACTGATGCATGAAATGTGCTACCCGTATGTCTTGTCTTGGGTGCTATTTGGAAGGATCTAAGCGCAACCGCGAGGGCTCTTGACGCAACCGTGGATCACGTTTCCCAATACAAGTAATGTGAGTCCAAGCCTTCCGATGGGCAAACCCGGAACCAAAATGAGCGGAACCGATCCGGCCCAAGCCCCCCAAAATCCAGGCCTGGCCTAGCTCAGCCCGGAAAATTATAGTCCGGGCTCCCCCACCAAGCCCAAGAAACCAGTGCATCTTTATCAGGGGAAAGAAAGGAAGCATGATAAAACCAACAATTAGATTAAACCCTAAGACATCCATTAAACCACAATTCTTACAACATAGATCTTAATCGGGATAACAGTAGATTACCGATCGCGCAGCGGTAGATAGAAGACTAAATGAATATGTGGGGAGCTACGGCGCTGTATGGACAAGAGTGTTAGGTAAATAAGGTAAAACAACTTCGTTCGTCAACGCTATCTCTACACTGATCTATTGAACTTCTGAACTCTCCGCCAGACCCCCGGAACTTCCGAAATCTACACCGATCAATCAACATCCATCTAGAACCTTCAACAATAGAGTTATTAAGCCTCTCCGTAGAAGGGCTTGGGGGGTCAGGATTGGAGCCCGGAGCGTGAGAGTGGAATCTGGAGGCTCTGAACACTCTATTTCAAGAAATTTTGCATCTATTTCCCGACCCAAGGAACGCAAGTCGTGGGGTTTGAGAGTATACTATCCTATTCTAACAATACCAGAGGCCAAATCCGAGAATTGACCTATTGTCGCTCACTTCCGGTGAGTTTTTATATCACATCGCCAAGAAGGTCGGATAGATGATGAACCCGAGAACATTGTTTTTCAACCAGGAAGGTGAATTTGAGGGCTATTGATCTCCCGATCTCACTCAATACGAGTGACGGTTCGGGATTGAAATCAGTGAAATCATTGTTCGCTGCAGAACACAAGCACAAGTATCGTACTACACCTCTCCTATCGGATGGCTAACCGATTTAAGACAAGCCTTCGTGCTGCGGAGGAATTTTATTAGCTATTGGTCCCCATGTTTGAGAACCGTGTCCCAGGTCCATGGCCCCCGGCTACCCTACCTACCGTAATGTATTTATTTAGGTTTTGCACCCCAAGATATTAATTTGTCATCCTTCATCCTTGAAGCTAAACCTAAATGCAAGAATTAGGGTCGTCGTTGCTGTACTCGTACTGTACGAGTATGATATCGTGCATCAAAGATTATCGCTTCCTGGGGGGTGGGGTCGCGTCTAGTCTTCCGAAACCATATTCGTACAGTACCGGCAACATACTGTGCTCGTATCCCATTTTGAATCTCGGTTGGCATCCCGACATCTCCCCATCAGCATTACTTGTGCAATATCAATAATTCTCAGTACATTTTTGTGTTGTTAGTTTTAGTAACTTTAGGTCGGCCGAATTTCACTAGATCCCCGGAACGTAGCTATCCTCCCCATAGATAGCCAAGAGGATAGGGAATTCACCAACTCATTACATACAAGGTATAAAAAAACAGCGATTTTTGGGGGGGGGCATAAGTTTCTGACCCTTCTCCAACAAGAGCATCATTACTAGTTCGTTGAACGGCAAAATTACATAATGACTTCGTTGGAAACGTCCTAAAGAAATCTATTAGCGCGCCACACTGAGCGGAGGACACTAGAAAAAATAAATACCCTCTTCAATTCCTTGAACGGCAAAGTGACGCAATTCCAAACTCTCACTTCGTCCCCAACTTTACAATCTCGGCTGAGGATACTGACGCTTTGCACACGAACGCCGTTCTTGACGACTGTCGTGGAGTGCTCCGTCACACTCATTGGAGTTCCCTCGACACGAGCCCAAGCGCCGACCTTGCTCTGCCAACCAATAATTGAGTACAAAACGCAGGCATCATGTCTGATTTCTGCATCCTCTAGAACAATGCTTTCTTTGACACGAGCGCCTGCTCCAATCACTGCTCTAGGGCCGATGGAAACATTAGGGCCTAGCTTGGCTGTGGGATCAACCACCGCAGTCGGGTGGATGTAAACAGGGGGAACAATGAATGCGGAAGGCTGGCTAAGTTCGTTGGATTCCGATTGCCAGGCCTTCTGCAAGTAGAGAGCATTGGCGGGGACAGCCGAACCAGCAGTCTTGATCTGACGCCAAAAGTCACGCGTTTCGTAAACAAAGAAACGGCGTGAGTCCGAAAGGGGGCCAAGAATGTCCTGTTCCAAGCGCAAGACCGAAGAGGTGTCGCCATCACTGGGGTCAAGTGTGGGATCTGAGGCGAGGCGAATGGCCTTATCTTCCATTGCCGAGCGAATGAGAGAGAAGACCGAGGAGCTAAAGAGGTAAACACCGCAATTGATCAAATTGCTGATATGGGATTCCGGCTTCTCGACATAATGGCGGACTTGAGAGGTCTTTGGGTCGACGACAATGCCTGTGAACGCAAAGGTTAAAATACGCACGGGTCACTGAGGAGTTGGAGCAGTATCTCACATCCAAAATTGCTCGCGGCCTCATTGCTAACCTTAGTTCCCAATAGCACCGCCTCTGCCTCTTTCTCCTCAAACATGTCGAGCATGTCTTTAAGGGGGAAAGAACAGCAGACATCCGCGTTGATGACGAAAAGTCTGCTCGGGTTCCCCTTCATGATAGCATCGCGGAAATGGTATAGCCCTCCTGCGGTCCCCAAAGCGGTATACTCGCGTAGATACTTAATCGTGAACTGAGGGAATTCCGTAGACCACTGGCGAATGTATGGCGCAAAGATAGATTCCTCGTAGTAGCCAATCAAGTAAACTTCTTTGATGGAAGGAACTTTTGCAACCGCCTTGAGGGGATGGTAAATGAGGGGGTGGCCGGCAACCTCGAACAGGGGCTACGACAGCGACTTATTAAGCGGTTTCCAACTCCAAGATCGGGGAAAACAATACCTTGGGGAGATCAAGAGATAGAGGGCGGAATCTAGTTCCCCTGGAAGGGCCTCCGACCTAGAGTTATCAGCTAAAGGTTCCTGCAGAAGCGAGATGGTACAAACGAGGATGAGAGCTTTGTTAGACATGTTGTTTATGCTGAGAGATAGAACTAAGGGACTGTGTGAAAGATAGTTTGTCGGAAGAAGGCAGTGATGGTTGACGAGGAGTAGAGGGGAGCGGGTTAAGGAGGTGACAGAACTCGGGAAGTAGGGTGAAGATGCAGGGACTTCGTTGTTGTTGATGCAGCCCCCCGCTAGAGAAATAGGGTTAAGCGAGGGTTGGACAAAAATAGCCGAAGAAGACCGTCTCATAATTTCTCACTCGAGGTTGATGCTTTTTAGGGGCTGTTTGGCGTGACATATTATGGTGGTTGCAACCAAGCTTGGAAACTGACCAATCAGAGACTAAGCCTACTTATGTAATACGTTTTAAGAGTTCTGATTGGTCAGTTTCAAACTTGGTTAATATGTCGCGCCAACAGCCCTTGTGTCTCAGCGCACTGTGATGGACTTTCTGCCAACAGGTAGTGGCGCGTGAAATTTTTATCGTAGAGAAAACCAATGTCAACCCATAAGCGCTTCACAGTACTAGGGCAGAGTGTGTGAGTGTGGCCGAGACACCAATGCCTGGATGAATTTAAAGAAAATCAGAGGAGTCCAAAAAACATGCACCACGTTCTCAGAAGGCGCCGTATCCATAGAAACCCGGCGGTCTTGCTACCCACCCGTGAGAATAGTTTCTCGTGGACGCAAGAATAATTTCATACTCGATAAAAACCAACGTTTCTATTTCTGAAAATTGAATAGCACAAGTTTCTTGAGTAGTAAGACCTGGACAGTAATTAGAGAATTCCAGGTGACATCCGTCCTAACTACTATAGTATCCAAATTATTCAAAAGGTTCTATGAGACCCTACTCCGCTATGGGTAACACGATGTTATGGATCCAAAGACATACCCGTCGTGTTTCACCAAAAACTTTGAAAAACCGGTTCATGGAAACCGATCGCTAAAGAGCACTACAAGTGCTCCTAAGTTCTCTTTCACACAACCCACCACGGAAGCATTCACAACATCTTGCCTACATAAGTGCCCTTGGCCGCCCCTCTCGTTCTAAATTTACACGATAAACCCAAAACTTTCACAACGTTTGCAGCTAACTCAATACCAAGAGGCCCTAACAATCCACGCATCACAATGACCACTACCACCACCCAAAGCCCAGTCCATCCCCTCCTCACTCGCCTAAGCAACCTTCAAGAAACCTTGGAAACAATAACCCTTGACCACCGAAACCTCCTCTTCCAACTATCTCTGAACGAAGCAATTCAGCAACAAAATATACCCTGGACTCCTGAAACTGCAGAGGTAATATTTACTAACGCAAACGCGCAGATGATTGCTTGGGGATGGGGGATAGAAGATTGTACGAGGTATGAGCTATTTCAAAACCGGGAGCGAGAGGTAAAGAGGCAGATTATCAATTGTTCGATTGAGATTGGGGGGATTCTAGAGAAGGAAGAGGAGAAGGAGGAGAAGGAGAAGCGAGAGGGGAATAAATAGGTTTTGTTTTTTGGGGCTCTATTTTTTGTGGAGAGCTATGTTTTTTAGGATATCTCTATCTAAGTACAGTACTGCTTCGCTTCTGTCCCACATCTGGTGATATGGGTTGGCATGGAATATATACGGAATCTGGCTTTCGGATGAGACTTGTGTAGGAGTGCGGTACGGGCGCTGACTGTACAGTACCCGATTACTGTACTCGTATAGTATGTGTAGGATCTATCACTCTGTCATGGACTGTAAGTTAGGCGGGATACAAGCTGAACAGAAGATCGAGTGTCATCCTGGCTCCTAGTAATTGAAGCAGATTCGGCTAGAACGATTGAACCTCTGTGGATACACTGGGGTGGTGGTGGTAGTAAAAGCCCAAGAAATATATAACAAGGCTATGCTCTTAGGTTTTAATCTCCAATTTTGGTGCTATGTGTGATGCTGGGTGGGTATCTGTGTTGGAAAGGGCGGTTACTCAGGGACACCGGCCACCTTGAGTGGGTGATAATTTCGACATTCCTTTGAGTGGCGCCCCGGAATTCAGTCCAACTCTGGCGGCCCTCGATTTAAGGAGAGGTAAGAGGATCTTTGACCGCCGCCTATAGAACATGTGGCAAATGGTGGAAAGAAAAAAAATGTGTGACAAGGATACAGGTACTTGTATTAATACTATACGCGATTTCCGCGACGTGCATGCTGGGGGTGTGCTAGGCAGGGAGTAAGCCACAGATCGTGTAGTACTGCATGGGCACTGGTAGGGTAGGACGGAGGATTTATGGGAGAATATTATTTTGTGAATGGTGAACATCATTTAAATTATCAATGTCTGCCATCCTAAGCTGCCAATACCGGTACGTCTGGGTTTGGGTCCGGCCCGGCCCGGCTGCAAAAAAGCGACTTCAAAACCAAAGCTGGTCCCGGCTTGAGTATGAACTGCATGCATGCGCAATGGTCCGAGCTGTTATCTTTTCATTTGACAGGTAGGCGGAGTCCTTGTTTGGGATGGCATATATTTTTTTCCTAACTTTTAACATAAGCGGTGAAAGGAAGAATGAGTGGCTTGTATTGTCTATATCAGGGCTGAATGGATCGTATGGTGTGGGTTTTAATTTGCGGAGATCTGACTGAAGTAATAATATGGTGATACTGTTGCCAGAACAGCTCGATGGATTAGCAAGCCCAAAAACTCCCTTTTGAGCTTAATAGCTCTCCCTATTCCCTGGGACTGAACGCTCCCAAGTGTAATCCTAGTTTGTAAAGCTACAGTGACAATGAAAATTAGCTGGGGCACCATAACGTTACTTTTGTGTTAGCTCTGGGAATTCACTTGTATAATATAGAGAATTTGGGTAGGACCGGGGGAGCACTTGGCGAGGAGACTCTTTCAATGAGGAGCCAGGAGTTCAAAAAAAAAAAGACTGTTGTGGCTAACAGATGTATTCACTTGGCAAATAGTGCACTAACTCACTCTGGGTGCTGCATTGCTGTGTGCCTACCCAGTCAATATCCGGGATTTTTTCCCTTAAATCTAATAAACAGAAGACCTTCTAGAACTCAGGTAGCAGGGTTTATTGATATGTCCTAATGGCCTGTCTTCCATAGATGTAATTGTGACTTTGATGTCAACAGTATCATGGATAGTGATCTCTTGTCTGACCGAGGGTGGGAGGTCCACGCAGTGTCCTCAAGAAGCGAGCTGGGTAGCCAGGGTGGAGGAAGGCTTCTGCTCCCGAGGGAAAGTTACTCGGCATTGTTTTATCCGTTCCGGTGCTACTGCATCTGGTACGCAACCCAATGTGCAATATCCGTACGGCTCTTGTAGAGTACCGGTTGATACATTACTCCACTTTTCTCTGCAATGCAAGTGATGCTGGTAGTATTTCAGCAGGGATTAGTGGATTTTTCCATTTTCTGAGATCGGTGGAGAAAACTGCCAGTTGGAGAAGAGAACTATTGGTGGGTGGGTTTCATCGGTTTTTTTGCCTAGCGGGTCTTTTCTGTATTAGGACCTTACATTATTAGGGAGCTAGCCCGGAGGCAATTGAATGCGCTATTATTTACTTTCCAGCATTGCCATCAATAGTGAATGCTTATTTTCATAGTCAGCCCGTCTCTGTAATGGAGCCTGCACGGCCATGAGGGTCTTTACTAATGACGGCGGTCTGAGCTACTGTAGACTCCCCTCCCTTCCCCTGCCCCTTCTAGTCTGGTGTGTTTCGCCTGCCGTAGTGGGATCTCTCGCCGGGTGCCGGGTGCCGGTGAGCGATCACATGGGCCAACTGATTTCAGAAGACAGGAAAACGAGAACTGCGCTGTTCAGCAACTTAATCTCCTCTAAGTATATGGATTACCATCTCTACCACCTGGTCAAGATAGTTCCATTATTATTTTAACCTCGTTTGTCATTTTATCTTAGACGTCCAGATTTGAGATCCACTAGTGCTGGTGGCTTGATAGTGTATCTCTATGTATCTACTACCTGTAAACTTACTGGTTAATATCAGCGTCTTTTCTGCTTTGTAATACTATATCAAGGTTAAGCATTTAATGAGCCACTCAGAACTAGCACTTTATGGTACCGGGTAGTACAGACCACCTTGTAATGGGTGATTTTGAGTGGCAGGCCTAGTTATGCACAAGCTCGAATATTGGAGCTCTATTCCGATTTGGGAAAGTCTCAAAACCCAGTAATCTGGGTACATGTATGGGCAAATGATATCGGAGGGAATCGTTTCCCTTACCGTAAAAGGAGTTCACACTATGATGTCCTGGGTTTCCGTCTTTAGATTTGGGGAGATGGAGACACAGCAAAAGAATTGTCTTTCAGCCCTTAGCTGAGACAAATAAAAAGAAAAATATGGTTCCGGCAGCCTACGTCCAACACCTCGGTCGTTGCAACCGGGGACGCAACGGGGGACGCCTTGGCATGTAACTTGCTTCATATGGAATCACTCAATAGTTTAAACCTTCCTTATAATTCTATTAATTTGTTTATTATTCTATTCACCCAGATCTTATCAATATTAGAAGTGGATGAGGCAAGGTGTTCCAAATGGAAAAAGCATAAAAGAATAAATTATGATATCAACCTTCCTGTCATATCACAAAGAATTAAGCCTGGTGGCAGCTTACTAATACAGAATTTCGTGCCAAGGCGTCCACCGTTGCATCCCCGTTGCAACAACCAATGTGTTGGACATACCGTAGACGCCGGAACCATACTTGATTTTGTATTGGCGGAATAGTTGAGTTATCAACAGTGGGAACGGTAGGGACCGGGCCGCAGCATCATGCCGTACTTGTAAAAGCCGGAATAATTAGACCTCTTGCGATAATAAAACGTTGTTGTTGTTTTCCATTTAGGTACCAGTACAGTGCCCCAGCAGTGAGGTCTGTGGTATTTTTATTTTTATTTGCCTCCGCAGGGCTGAAAGACGATTTTTTCTTTTAGCTGTCCCTTTCTCCCCTTACTTCGAAGGAGGGAGCTCTAGACCTCCTAGCTTGGGATCCTATCACCTCAGCCATTACGGTAC